AACCCGACCACAACCAGCCCTGCCCTCTTGACCACAGAGCTCTAACACTCAACCAGGATAAGCATATCTGTGTGTGTCAGGCACAAACAGGCAGACTCTGAGATGGCAAGCGTTTGATAGCCTTCACAGACACATTCCTTATTCAATATACCTGACTCTAAGAAAAGAATACTTTTGACATTTGGGGAATCATGATCACTAACTCACTATTCGCAGAGAGTCAGGGGGCTAGTCGTCTGGCAACCTCTGTGACGACAAGACTCCAGGAAGTCACTGCACAAGAAATAGTCTGGCTCATGAACCCACATTGTGTTTTTGTTTTTTTTGCCCTTTCAGATTAAACAAACAAGATTATTTACAAGAATTAGTGAGCTTCAGAGGTGACCGATAGTGGATTGTGTTACCTTTAGACAGAGCCAGGCTAGCTGTTTCTGGGTACCCAGAGCTATATGACTTTATCACCGTAGTTAACATGTGCAAATTAGTGCTGAACTTGAGATTACAAGTTGTCTTCATACATTTAAACCGTACTTTTAACTCGTAGGTAGCATATGGTTCATGGTTTGCGGTAAGCTAACGTTCGGAGGTTGCAATAATAATAAAATAAGCAAACTGCAAAAATCACTCTGTTTGTTCGGGTGTCTTTAACCACAAAATAATGCAGTGCAGCGGCAGGGCACCTTGTTTTTTCAACTCTGATCAGGGTTATGGATCAGGGTGTTGTAGATCTTCTCATGTCAATTTCAACAAGACAGGAAATAAGTACATATCCCAAAGAGCAGTGCAGGTTATTTCCTCATCTTCCTCGGTGAAATGTTGACTCATCGACACTCCCTGGACAGCATAAAAACACATTTTGCTTAATCTGTTTGATCTTATTATCCATGATTTTTTATTGTATGAAAGTGAATGGTCCTTTCCACTGAGTACATCACTGGTCTATAAAAGCCAACGATTTAACTGAGGTGAACTTCAGGGAGCTCTCTCGATCCCTCTGATAAGACCCTGGTCCCATTAAGACGAGCTGTCCCTGTGCGAGAGCTCAGCGCTGGCCTCACACACTCGCTCTTATCTAAATCCTTCATCAACAGGCACCTAATCTGACCACGGCCGCTAATGTTGATAGATTTGATTCTCCACTGGGGAATATGGGAGAATTCAGTGTCAAAAATCAAACAAACCATTTCATTATCTCATCGTACATAGGATCAGGTATTATGGACTGTATATTATATGTTATATATAGTTTTCTTGCTTGTGTGCAGTAAGAGTTAATAAGGCACTCTAAAGGTGATGCTGTCATGCTTTACTGGGCCATATAGTTGTATGCGTGTGCTTGTATATGTGTGACACATGTAAAGAGTGAGTCCCGGCAAGACCAACTAAGGCAAGCAGCGACATTAGCACCCTTGAAATAGCTTGGCAGGCATTTTAATTGCTTTACCCTGCAATGGCTCAAAATGTTATTGGTGTAAAAAAGAAAAAGGGTGAAACCTTTCCCAGGCATAGGATTACCAGAAACACTAACTGAACGTCACTGACAGGGAGTTTCTCCAAGTGAGAGCTAAATTGCACGATTTTAATAACAATAAATACCTGAACGACTGAATTATATTCCCTATTGTTGTCTCTGATCTTTGCCCTCTCCCTTCCACATTCTGTCCTCTCACCTTAATCCCATTTGTCTTTTAAACTAATAATAATAACTGGGCTTATAATTACACAGTATTGTGTTTCTACCTCTTGGGGCAGTGAGGGAAATTTATGATGCATGTTTGTCTTTAATCATTGTGAAAGTAAGAGCAGAGTCATGTGCATGAAGCCTCACAATGAGGTGCTGAAGTACTTCATGAGTAGGAAGCTTCACACAAACACAGGAAGCTCAGAGTTTCTCATCGTCTTTGCTGCGGCGCTGCAGGGACTGATGGGCCGCTCAGATTAACTGGGGCCAAAGAACCTGCAGTTCTTACACATTATTGTTGCTCAGGCTGATACACAGGGAGGCATCAGAGTATAGATCTGCAGGGTATGGAGTTGTTATCCCAAGCTAAATGTTAAATGTAGATTATTGTATATATAGCATTCTGGTTGTTGAGTGTTGGAGACACTTTCCTTGTACAAAAAGTAGTCAAAATTTAAAACTTCTTTGGTTGTTTTTTTGGGAGCACAAGTGAAGTCAAATTAATATTTATAGCAAAAACTCTTCCTGAAGATTATTCATCAGTTGTGATATGTCTGTATATATCATTAACCTTAGAGGATGAGTGACTAACACAACATCATCAGTGCCTTTGACCTGTGTTAGTTATATTATATCAGCAATAAAACACACCACCAGGGATTTTAAGGCACATACAGTGAAATTATGATGTTTCTCCACTCAGGGGTTTTATACACTTGAGTTATATGTGCTCCTTTGTGAAACGTATAATGGAAGAAACATGCAGCAAAGTACAGATTTGAGGTCCAAGAGTGATCTCTAGTGGTAAAGAAGTGATATGTTGTTTGCAGTCTCAACAAAGCAAATTATACACCAACACAACCTTTATTAATGATTTAATCAAGACTAATTTAAGATATTTTGTTTGTTTTGTAAGACCAACTCTACTGATGAGGACGGGGTTAATAGTGTTTTGGCTTAATACAAGTTATCTGTCTCTATCATTTCTTTATGGCTTCTGCAACATTTAGGTTTGTGTCCCATTGTAAAGGAATTTAACATTTTATCTATTTATACACATATATGATCACAAATGGTTAAAGTGAACATTTCCTAAATTTGATTTTGACTGATTGATGAACTTTAGTTGTCACAACTATAGTTTGTTTTTGGTCTCACATTACTATCAGACATTGTTGCTGCCATAATACTTGCTTGTGGGACTAGGACTTTACCAGAGTGCATGAGAGAGATAAAGAGGTTTCATTACATTTGGATCTCGTGATGATGTTGAACAGGAGGAACATGCCTGTGAACTACTGGGTTAAATGTCTTCCTCACGTAGCAGTATAGTCATGAGTGTGATTGTAATTATGAACATGTCAGTTTATCACATGGACAATTGGTTTTGAAGCAAGGAGAAGTGCATATTTGTAAAACAAGGTTAAAACCCAAATTGTTTATCATTCCCAAGATTCCCTTTGGTTTTTTGGCCCCATGTGAAAATGTTAAGACTTTTAGTTCATATTGTGCTCACAGGGAGTGTAATCCTAACTAAAGTTGTTTGAATTGACCCAAACGGACACACAGGAAACCTAATAAAATGTATTTATGGGAGCACTGATTGTGTTCTGGGTCTAATGAAGAAGCTCACATGTGCTTTCTGCTGCTTACATACCTTTTTGTTCCCCCAGTTTAATCTGGCCAAGGCAGGGAGTATTTAACGTCACTTTATTTGCCAAATAGTGCAAACAACAAACCCATTTTGTCAAACAAATGCGTAATTAATTTGGGGAATAAGCAGCATTCCCCACGCGGCTGTGTCCCTTTAATGTTTTACTCAATGCTATCTTAAAATGAAGAACCATATATAAGCATATAGGCAACAATACATTAGACATCTTCAATTAAAAGGCAAAAACACTGATTATCCCCCAACCCTGCCTCTCTTGAGCTCTTCATCAAAACGTGTTGGCCATCCAACGGCATGTGCCCAAACTGCAGTTGTTGTCACCCACAAACCACTAGATGGCATATTTAATGGCGTTATGTCGACAGAAAGAAAAAGAAAAAACAGCACACGCAATGCATGTCAAGCAGACAGATGGCGCAATTGCTGCAGAAATGCTGACTTGTGCGATTCAAAAAAATGATCTATTTTCTCAAAACAAACCGAGCCAGGCCCCTTTTCTGTCAGCGCACATTGATCGCTGTGCACACAAATGCTCCTTCCTTGCGTGGCCTGAGGAAGCAGCAAGCGGATCTTTCGCCATGCTTGACTAAAATTTGCAATGCAGAATGATGTAACGCTTTCCTGCCATTATGCTAAACATTCTTCTTGTAGGAATGTGTTTTTCCAAATTGATACACAGTGAAACATGTTGCTTGCAGGCTGTTATTGTGCAGGCCAGACCTGTTTCAGAGATACAGTTCTAAGTTTATGTAATTTTGGGCATACCCTGCTGTCAGAGAAGCGAGCTTCAGCAGTCGGGAAAAGGTAGAGAAAAAAAAACACATGTATTCCTGACAGCCCATTGGTCCAAATTTTCTGTGTGCTGCCACAATACTGCACACACGTGACCTGCCTGTTTTCACCCAGTTGGACGCGTGTACTTAAAAGACAGGCCACTACCATTCACCAAACACAAGCAAGCCCGATTAACACAATATCGATGCCAGCAAGGTAAGATCGTTACTGCGGGGGACTCGGATCACTGGGAGCGGACCATGGCGGCTGCCACGAGCAGCAACACATCCACGCTACAGATCAAGCACTCCAGCATCGAGCATACGCGGAAACGCATAGACCCGCGGAGGAGGCAAGCGGCGTTGTCCTTTCTCAGCAACATTTCTCTAGACGGGCGACCCGTGCAAGACGATGCAGACGACCAGAACGAGGAGGAGGACTCGCTCGAGGCTAGGACTAGACAGAGCCTGGTTTCTCCGGAGCGCTCGGCGCGCGGGGCTGCTGCTGCCGCCGCCGCTGCCGCTGCTGCGGCGGCGGCGGCGGCGGCGACCACGGCCGCCCAGGCGCTCGCTTTTGCAAACCAGGCTCTCTTCGCCAGCGGTCGGGCCGGTTTCGGGACGGGTCCCGCAGCCGCATACACGGAGGGCGACGCTTTCGCGCCCTCGACGTTCAGCTCGCCGTTCTCCGCGGTCCCAGCGTCGACTAGAGGGAGGCTGCAGACGTACACTCAGGGAATCCTGCCTGCCGCCTACTCCAGGCAAACCTCGCAGAACTACAGCCTGGAGGGCGTGCAGATCGCCAACTCTGCGATAGAGCTGCAGCGATCAAGGTAACTGTGTGAGAGCTGCTTGGGAGCATGCTGTACAGTGTGACTTGGTGTGAGGCATTGCGATAAAGGTGCAATCTCGCCTGCGGGATTTGCACAGTCAGGCCGTTAAACTGAACATCGCTGTCATCATAGCAAGCAAAGCAAACTTCACCATGTCCCCCCCCCCCCCCCTACTAAAGCAATCATAGGAGAAATGCATGGGAGCAGTCAGTCCACGTGTTAAGTAAACTCACATGTCAGCTGACTGTCAACATTTGATTATTGGCTGCAATATGATGCCTCTGACAAACCCTCTAGTGCAGTTTATTCTTGTTGCTTTGCATTCACCACCAGCCTACAGTAGATTATCAGGTCTCTCTCTTTTTCTTTTCACAATTTGGCACATCAGTGATTGAACTTCTGATGCATTAAAAGTGTTTGTGTTTTGTTTCCTCACATCAACCGGGGCCCTGAATGAATAAACTCTCGGAACAGTTTATTTTTAAAGTTAACTTTGTTTTGGAAAGGTGTTTTCGGCTCTGCAGTCTGCCTGGACGCAGCACTACACAGCAGAAGGATAGAGTTCAGCTGTTTGTTTATGTACTGCATGCGGGTGGTCATAGTCTTATGATTGACTGTTCTGCAGGGATGGATAGATGCGGGATGACCTAGTTTCCCCAGAGAGGAGACAGAGCTCAGCAGCACACCTCAGAAGTTGTTTTTTATTATTTGTTATTTTTTTTTTTTTACTTACACATGCTCACTGTCAAATGTACTAGACCTCAAATTATTTTTAGTGAATGTCATTCCAAAACCCTGTCGCACACCTGCCGTCTCCTCAGCGTGACGTAAACGTCCTGTAACTCTACACCCCCTGTTCAACTACATAAACAGGGGCTTGCTGCTCCATGTGGATGTCTTTTAGTTGTCCTCTCTGTCTACTTTGCCTTCACGCTGGAGGCACAAGGAGAGTTCAGAGGGTCTAACCTCGCCGCAGGACAGCTGTCAGTAACAGTCGTCTCATGGTTCCCTCAATGTCAGATCCTGCTGTCAAACCCTCCCTGCTCTGCTTTGCATTCAGAGCCCCCCTTCTTACCCAAATCCTCTCCTCACTCTGGTGTCTCTGGCAGACTTCTCAGGAAGCTCTGCTTCATGGGGGAAACACTCGACAGGCATTTAGTTCCCCTTCCTGACCTCATGGAAATTGTGCTGCCAAACCAACAGCCTCCGAAAGTCTTAATCTGTACTTTTTGATCGTGAAATAAGTCCATTAAATACGTTTTATTACACTCAAGACATTCATTTAAAAGTGTGCTATTTATTTTCTGAGAGGCTATTTACAGTTTACTGATGCTCAAAAAACACAGGGAATAAACAAACCATCAGAAACACCTTTTACAATGAAGCCTAATCCATTAACTGCAGCTTCAAATTAAACAGAATTGACGTGAAAACAATGAAAAATGAAGTTAGCATTAGTTGACAAAACGGTCTCATCACAAAGCTCTTTTAGCTGTTTTTGGCGTTTTCAAGCAGATCACACAATCTTCCTCTGCAGATGGTGTTTGCCCAGTTGTCATAGGATTAAAGATGTTTTATATTTTCATTTTCTTTGACATTTTAGGACCTTCTGTTCATGTTGCCGCAAACGTCGAGCTTAAAAGTTCATTCTTGACCTTAGAAACGACAGTTCTCGACACGAGGCCTTTTTATTAGCTGCTCTTGAGCTTCAACTTTTGAGCCGACATAGACGAGAAATCCTCAAAGCGCTTAGAAAAATGGAAATTAAAAAAAAAAATCTACAATTCCATGACAGCTGAGAAAACTCCACCGGCTGAGTAAGATCCTGTGATGCCATCGAAAGCTCCAGAACAAATACTGAGTGGACCTTGTGGTGAGATTGTTCCGTCAACTGCTGTTTTCAAGGTCAAGAATGAACTTTCAATCTTAGAATGATAATATTATGGTTCAAACGGGTTTACATGCTGTATATGTAATATAATATATGGAACGATAGTGTTCTTGTGCAGGTATGTGGTTTTGAATGACATTACAGTTCACAAAATTACACCATTTGATACATTTAAATGCTTCATTTTGGCAGGGCATTTTATTGATTTAATATTTATACTACATGTGTTAAATGAAAACATCTTTCATGTAACAAAAGAAGCCAGTAAATACAGTATGAAGTCATTAAACCATGACTGTACTCTGCCTTTGGAATATGCTTGGAGGATGTCCACACAAAAGTAAGCAACCTGTTGACGGAGCGCGGCCATATTCCTGCGGCGCGCAGACAGACGAGCGCTCTGCACAGTGCCTGGTTTGTTTTCTGAGGTCAGCTGGTGGAAACGTGTCCAGAGGTCCCTGGCTGCGTCAGGCAGGATGCCCAGGCTTTCTGAGAAGCAGCCTGGCTCTGCGCTCTGTATATTTTCTGTCCTCCACTTCCTCTCCCACAGGCATCAGAGACACACTCTCCCCTCAGACTTTTAGCTCTCAGTCCTGCTCCCATTCAGGAAGTCGCAGAGCCTCTGATGTGCTGCCAATAACCGACTTTCTAAGGCCAAAGCTGCTTTAGACCGTATCCTCATCATGCATGAAAATGATGGATGATTTCATATTCAGCCTTCCTTCCATTCCTCGGCCTTTATCCATCATGAATCAGCACGCTAAGAGCTACAGCTTTAAATATAGCATACCTATTACCATCTGGCCTTGTCTGCCTAAGGGGGTAGAGCTATTTTCATTTCATCCTTTCCCCCCATAAAACACATCCAGGTGTTTTCACGTCCTCTTTTTAGTTACATTCCCAACATCATTAGGCATTGCCGAATGAATCATGTTCTTAACCGTATTTTTACAAGAGTTTTTTTAACATGAGGCAGCAGAAGTTGTGGCTGGAAAACCAGCAGCACAAGTCATTACAGTGGCCCTGTGGAGTTTTGTGTGATCGGGTCACATACTTCTGGTTATGAGGTTGATTGTTGTTTGCTGAGGTCATGCTTGGCATAATCACAGGATTATATAAGAATGCTTCATTTTCCTTCTAGGTGTCTGAGCTGTCTGCTAACACTCAAAAAAAAAAAAAAGCAATTAAGATTCGACTGAGAAACCCACTTCAAGTATAAGACGTGGTAACAAGGGTCAGCTTGTGTTTTTCTTTGTGCACTTATAAGTTGAATCCGGGAGTTAAGTTTCCACATCATGCGTTGCTGTGTTTCTCACCCTGAACAGCTACCAGAACAATTCTATTTGTCTTTCTGTTTCTTTAAACTAAGCATCCTGTTTGTACTCCCAGTGTGTTTGAGGATCAGAGAGGCTGAACTGTTCTGACTGGATTTCTTTTCTTCTTTTTCCCCGTTCCCCGTCAGAATAATCAATTTTCCGATTGCCTTGGCTGTATTGTGTGAAGAAACCCAGAACATGACATTTATTTCCACTCGGCGACTCTCCGGCAAAATGGAAGACTGTGTCCTGCGGCGAGCTGCCAACAGGGCGTACGTGTGAAACTGTTTAATCTCCGCATCTAAATAGTCCACTTGAGTTTTATAGCATCGCTGCATGGCACTGCTGGCCAGGATTATCAATAGCCTTTTGGAAACGGTTTCAGCAGGATGGCATTGTGTTTGCAGCAGAAACGTATTAATGGTACATGGATTGCATTCATCAAACATGCCTAAATAAAATCACTTGAGGCAACGATAGCGGGGACTGTGTTGGAGATGCTGAGGGATGCTTGTTGTTGCCCCTCTGCCACTGATTTATACTGAGGTTTCTTTGAAGCGTTTGGCCCGGCCTTGTTAATGTCAAACCCGGTAAAGACTGTTCCTCTAACTGTAGTTGGTAGGAGTTGTGTCTGAGGTGAATGAGTGGCCGGCCCAGTGTTATTGTTTCCAGGATTTGTAGCGGCCTGTAAAACATCTTTTGCATTAAAAACACGTCCTGCTGGTGCCGTCGACCTCCAGGTCCTTGGATCCGATCAAAGTCCTCACAGTTCAGCCGTGTCCTCATGAACTGGGAACATTCCCTTGGGGCCCCACTAGTGAATGAGTTTTTAGGATCGGTAACAATTCACTGAGATTTTGGACTGGAATAACGACAAAGTGTCACACAGAATGGAGACCGATGGCTACAATAAGAGGTTATGTCTTCCTTGGAACAGATTGTGGACATGGTGGAACACTCTTTGCAGAGTTAAAAGGACATGTTTGGATTATTCGGTCTGTCCGAAAGCAAAAGTCACGCCTGTATGCACATTGAGTGCTATTGGTCGCTGTAAACGACATTCCTCGTTTCCTGCAAAAATCCAGCCACAGCTTATATGAGGCATCAGCGGTCAAAGTTAATGCAATCAAGCTTCCAACGTTGCAAGCTGTTTAGTACAAAATCCCATCTTTTTGTTACTATCCCTCTGCTGCAGCTCTGTAAGGAAACACTGTCCAGGATAACCCCAAGAGGGATTTGTACTGAAAAGACTGTAGCTCTGAAGGATAAACACTTGATTTGTCTAAGTCACACTTCTGAAGCCTCATGGGCATAGGCTGATGTTTACGATGCATTTTTTTTTGTTGCTGCTTAGGGCAATAAATGTGGATTTGGTTCTCTCTCTCTCTCTCTCTCTCTCTCTCTCTCTCTCTCTCTAACCTAAGAAGTAATCGCTTCACAGTTCGTATGGACAGGAAGAATGATTACAGCAAACAATGTGCACGTCGTATGAGTCATATATTAAGAGGCGACAAATCTAAACCTTTGGGCCAGCTCAACAAGCTGAAAACACATTATTATTATTATTACCTTATAACATTGTGTTGGCAAACAGCTCCCTACACATCCAGCTGACAGAGAAATATTAGCATCCAGTTGAAGTAGTGGCCACCTGGTGAATGCAAGTCAAATATTCACTCTCTTTTAGCTCTGTTTTGGTCTCAACCGACTCCTGAGAACAGTATCTGGCTCATTGGGTGATGAAATGCTCTGTTATGTTCAAAGCTAGATGCTAATTACTTTACCTGTTGTTTCATGCTAGGCTGCTAGCGTTCAGTGGGGCTGTCTGTTTTTTAAACGGCTGCCTGCTGCATCCAGTGAGAGGGCACCGAGGCAGTAAAGTTGTCGGCCCTAAAACCAAAAATAGAAGCTGAACAGTTTTAAAGCGCTCTGCAGTGTCGTTTAACAATTCTCTTGTCGGTTTCATGCTACATGCCATACCTCTCACATTACACATCAATCCTTTGATCCATCTATTCATACAAATATATCCATTAGTGCAGCTTTAAGTTAAGCCTTCAGTCAGAAACTCAAACTTGTATTCAGTTTTGGATTAAAGAGTCAGATGAGGTCATTTCTACATTCTCAGTAGTTAAGGACAGTGTATGTTTCACGCCAGTGTTCCATTTCAGCTCTTAATGTATCAACATACGGAAGCATGACAACATGGAAATGTTTTCTTATGACCTAAGTTATTCTAAAAGCTTCATTTAATATAAAGTAGTTTTAAGGATGAAGTGATGCGCCATTATGAGAAAGATGTAAGTCCACTTAGACTGTCCAGTCTCAGATCTTTATCCAGCCAATCTCTCTCCTCCATCAGAAGGATGATGTAACACTGACTATAAATCACATGACCACACATGAGCCACTCATCTGACCATCAGGCAGAGGTCACGCCCCTTCATAACAACCATGTCAGCTGTCCGTTGTTCCACTTAGGACAAAAATAATGTACTGTTCTTTATGCTCTTTAGCAGAGTGTTTCATTCTCCTCCTCCCCAGTTTATGATTGTTGGGGTCATAATGTACAGTGCAGGAGGTTAGCCAGTATAATGGCTCTCGGTTTCTTGTCTGGGTCCTCATGCACACACTCGTCTCAGCCCGTCTCCTCAGGCATACACTGTTCACTCAGCCTGTCTCGGTTTAAACCCTGCGACATCCTCAAGGACATGGTCATCTTTTGTTAATTTGTCCTCGTGCTCTGTCGTTCATTAACCAGCCTCTCTGCTTTACGCTCTGTCTCCGTCTCCCCCTTTTTTTTGAAATGTTCAGTGAAGAAGGGGTGGGTCAGGGCAAGCTTGTTTAACTGCTGCCGGCTCTACAGCATTACAATGTGAAAAGAATTACGTGGTCCAAGATTAAAGTCATTATGCATGGTGTGAACAGACATTTGTTTGCAGTCTTACTTGGCTTTGCCGACTCTGCTTCTGCAGATTTATTGATGGACCCCTTTGGGAGGATGCGTCACGTTTTAGTTATTTCACCACTAATGTGTTAATTTCCGCTACTTTCAAATGCGGCCACTTTATAAAGCAGATTAATGATGTTGGATTATGTCGTTATCGTGGCGCTAAACATACAATTACAATCTAATTTTGGAACAGCTCACGCATACTTGGCTATCACACGAGGGGTTCATTTCTTAAACTGGCAGCCGATCATATAAAAGTGGTCCAGCAGAATTAGCCTGTTGAGTCGTGCAACCAAAGTGTAAAATAAAGGCCATCTGTGACAAAATGTGTTACACACAAAGTGCTTGCCGAACCAGCTCGTTATCCTCTTAGCGGCTCTGATCCTGGAAAATTCCCTGTGATGTACGCCAGATCGAGGAGTGATCATTGACCACACAGTGGTGTTGATGGATGACCATAACTCGACCGCCCAAGACTTGTTTTTGTAAATGAACCACACAGAACAGACGCAGACGGGTGATGATTTCACACCATTGTTTGACCTTTTGCTCCGAGGCCTCAGTGACCACAGTCGTATTTTGTTTCAGGGCTTTGTATCGAACATTAATGCTTTTTGAGTATCAAAAGTTGCCATTGTCTGCATGGTCAAATTCTTAGGTTATTTCTTTGATTAAATCTTTGTCTAAATCTAGAAACCTTTCCAACTTTAGAAAATATATTGCCTCTAGTCCTAACACTAAGCTATTGTAACTAAAACTTGTGTATGATTTGGCACACATGTCAAACATTTTGAAAAGATACCAACAAATATGTTGTGTATTGTTGGCTTTACTCACTTATTGACCCATTGATTTACACAAAGTAGGTAAATGGAGATTTCATTTGAAAGTCTGTGAATGCTGATACATCGGTTTTATTCTGAAAGCTAGACTCACCTCAGCTTGTGAGGAAAATGGATTGATTTTAGTGCCCACTCTTGCCATTCGAGGTATTGCTATACTGTGGAATTGGCTTTGATTTAGTGTTGTACCTTTTTAATCAAATTGCTTTGCAGGACTATTTGTCCATCATAATGAGGATTATATCATTATTTTGCCAGAGTTAGTTCTCCTCTAAGCTGTTTTGCAGAGGGACGGTTGGTTCTGTGTTTGGTACGATGATTCCTCTTCTAACTTTCGTCTCTGTCTGTCTTTCCAGACGGAGACTCATCTCTCAGCGCTCTTCGCTTGAAACGCTAGAGGACATTGAGGAGAATGCTCCTCTACGCAGGTAGCGAACTGCACTGAAATACCGGTCACATTGTCTAATGTACTGTATATACGATTCTGAGACACTCGGTGTGATGCATCCCACTGGGATTCTCCGTTTTTTGAGGTACTGATGTTTTGTGTTTTGTTTTACATTTTAGATGCCGAACCCTATCGGGTTCCCCCCGACCAAAGAGCTTCAAGAAGATCCACTTCATAAAGAACATGAGGCAACATGATATTCGTAATGGAAGGTATGAAGGCAAACAACGCCACCCATTAGTCAATACAAGTCCTCGGTGGATAATGGCAGGCTGCCCCAGTCAATGAACTGCAGTGTGGATGTTTTACAAGCCACATCGTAAGCAGACCTGGCCCACTCACTGCATGTCATTCTGACTCATCAATTAAATGTAATCGATTGACAATCCTTTGCATTTCACACAGAGTATAATCTGATTTTGTTTCATTTTAATCTTTAGTTGATCACTGTTGAATCATTTTGGAATCGCACCATGAAATCACTGCAAAAAGCTAAATCACATATTGTATCACAGTGCACATAAGCATGTATGCAGCGCACAAATCCCTAAACATAGAACAATAATGGTTACTGTTGCTGGGTGTGCAGAATGTAAACAAAGGAAAATATGGTTGTTTCAATCTAGGCCAGAAGTCCCAGGAAGTGTTCACCACTCTGGGGATTTTCACCATCATCAAAGTCACATTCTTTGGATTTGAAATGTAATTGAGTCGGCTGTTTTTCAGGGCATTCTGTGATGGAGAGTGTAGTTCTGGTGCTTTCTTCGAAAATCATTTTCCAGTTGAATTGTGCAGATGCTCGTGCAGTATCTCTTTGTTTAGATAACCAGTGCACCATCTTGATTCATTTATCCTGTTAAATTAGGACTCAGGTCAAGTTGTTCTTCCTATATATACACACGTCCATATCTGACGTGGAATAACCGTGAGCTGGATGTTTCCACACGATTAGGAACTGCTTCTTGATCAACAGATGCTGAAACACGCCGTGACTCGCGTGTCGTTTGTATCTGATGTTGATTTTGGTCCAAGTAGTCTGATTCATTAAGCGTCTGAGTTGCAGCTATTAAAAGAAGCGTTACTTTAAGTATTCTTCCCAATTATTCTAAAATTAGAAAATGTTAACCGAAGTTACCTTATTAAACAAATTCATCAAACCCCTGACTACATGCTACATGTGCTACAGTACCACAAAACAACACACACTTCACACAGTTTCATCTCATTCTCTCCAACTTTAACCTGTGGATCTTGTCAGATAGATATTGATTAGCTTGTTTTTGTTTTTATAGGATAGTCCTTATCAGTGGCAGAAGATCCTTCTATAGTGTATTTTCTGTCCTGCCCTATCGAGATTGTAGCCAAGCAGGGTATGTATCCTACAGCATGCCGAACTTATTAACCTCCAGCCTGTGCTCCCTCTTTCCCTTTGTTTTCTCATCGCTCTTTTCCTGTGGATGTACTCTCCTCTGACTGGTGCATACATTGCTACGGGCTGGTTTTGGTGGATGCATTTTTACCGTTGCGGTTTGATAAATGAAAAGGCAGTGGGCTGAAATGGGCTTAAAAGGATTAATTTCGTCAATTGTTGCACAGTGCTTGTTGCTTGTCTTGCTTTTTTTCCATAATGGCTCCCGTGGCTTCTAGCCACTCTTCCTTTTTGTTCACATCAACCCATTTCTGTCTGTTGCCACTGTCGCTGGCTTTTTAGCATTTAAGACTCACCTTTTCTGCCGGTGTTCCTGTTTGTTTTTTTCCTGTTCCAGATTTAGAATCTTTAGCTCTTAATTTATTTCATGTGTTGTCCACTGGTTGAATTATCCACAATACTGGCAGACTGGAGTTTCTGCTGCGTGTCCTGCACACGGTCATGACAGTTTGTAACAAACCACTTTTGTTTAATCTTAGCCTTGTTTAAAAGTTTACCTCTCTTGGTGGTAGAAGGAAAAACATGTCTGGCTTATCTGTAGACGACGCTTGGTTCCATGTAATGGGAACCCACCTGGCGTTCATGGGAATAGCTCTGGTACAGCCTAGGTTCTGACGAGTCACCCCCCAGTCACATGAAACGGTGTCTTTTGGAGGAAGTGAAAGAGAAAAGGGGAAAGATAAGCGCCAGAGAATACAATGCACAGAAATAACAGCTTCACACCGGGGCTTAGTGAAGAGCATGAAGGCTCAATCCATTCCGGGAATTTCCAAAGCCAGCCAATCAGTTTAAGGTCGAGGGTTAATAAACCCCCAGGGATATCCAATTTGACTGCTCATTGCTGTTAATTGACAGTTTTCTGTTAGACTTTGGTTTACAAGTGTTGTAACTGCAAAACAACATTTTATTAGACGACCGGGCCCCAAAAGGCTGATTTCTTTTCTTCTCCGTCTCTCTGTCTTTATGATTACTGCAACTACCGCCCCATGAACAAAATTGCCAAATTTTGCAGTGCAGCCTTGGCATGGTCCCAAAAACAAAAATGGGAACAAAACATGAAGACAGTTCTCCTACAGTTACAACACTAAATAAGGAATTTCAAAGGAATGGTTTGACATTTTGGGAAATACACTTATCAGCTTTCTTGCCAAGAGTTAGTTGAAAATATGAACTCTCTCATATCTGTCTGTTTGATGTGAAATGATAGCAATAAGATAGCTAGCTTGAGTTTTGCATTAAGTCTGAAGCAAGGTAAATGTGCACATTTCCCCCGAATAAACCACAACGTTTTATTATAATTGATGCACTGATGCTGACACTAATACAGGATATCGGTCCTATACTTACCCAAATCGCTGGATCGGGTATCCTTTACAATAGGCTGACCTCGTATCAGTTATCATTATTTTAATAAATAACAGTTCAGTACATTTATATCTATGTATTTATTTGATACATTTTGTTTTACAAACTTAGTTCAAGCCTGCTGCCTTACAAATGCAAGAATAATCCTAATCGCTCATAGTGAGGCATACAGTTTATTAATTAAACACAGGTATCGTATCGGCACTGAAACAGTCAGATAGATGCAGCCTACTTTTTACACTTTGTATTTGTACCGAATAAACAGAGATATAATATGTTGTTTTGTTAAACCTTAGTTTGGACAGAACCAGGCTTGTCTGTTTCCTCCTACTTCGAGTCTTCATGCTAAGCTAACAGACTACTGGCCGCAGCCTCATAGTTAGCGTACTGATGATGAGAGTGGTGAGTATTAATCTTCTCATCGAACTGTCGATGAAAAAGCAAATAGGTGCAGTTTTTTCTTTCAAAATGTCAAACTATTCCTGTAAGGGAAAGAAACCATGAAACTTTGCAGACTAAAAGACTGAACATCTGTTTATGGGGCGTCACTGTCTCATGACACCTAGATGGTTTTGGGTTCAAACCCCGCTGGGGTCAACTGTGGCTTTTCTTTGCAGACTTTGCATGTTCTCCCTGTGTTTGCATGGGCTTCCCCTTATGCTTCAGTTTCTCTGACCCTAAACGATCTGCATGTTGGGTAATGCTCCTGGCATTGCATTGTGGTCGCAGTTGGCCTCCGGGGTAAAAAGTTAGATTGGTTAAATGCAGAGGAAATTTCCTCACTGGGACTGATAAAGTATTATTTATTGATGCTCATGGGTTTAGCGTAATAGGTGAAGCTCAGTCAAGACTGCAGGGGAATATTATTACAAGCCAATAAAAGCCAACTTTAAACTGTTTGTATGAGTTGTAAAGTATTTGGTAGTAAAGTAGACAGCCAGGGTCAATATGTTTTTAGTCATGTTAATGTTTATGCTTCGTGTGCTTGATGCTAGATTTAGAGACATTTGGCAGGGCATCGTGAGCACTTATAACACTACTAACATACAGATGTTTCAAGCCAGTGGTTCCTGTGCATGCATGCTACAAAGCAATGTCAGCTTTTCTTATATTTTTCCTTTCATTTCTCCTTAGTCTCAGCAGACTAAAGCGCAACAGTTTTTTTTTTTTTGTTTTTCTGGATCGCTTCTTAGAAAAGCTCTCTCCCTAGAAAGCTTTCCGTCTCGTATGTTTTTCCCCTCTTTTTTTTTTTTTTTCTTTAATCTCCACTGTTCTGTGAGACGTCTGCTGCCTGGGGACCTCCATGTCTATGATGCATCCATCAACAACGTGTCCTGTTTGCCAAATAACACTGTTTGCATTATATCAGATTGGCCCCACATGTCATCAAAACACTGGGAGAGTCATGTGAGGGCCGACTGTGTCATTTATTCCATTTATCTGGGCACCGTTTTAATCCGAAAGCATGACTGAGCTAGGGGAAGATAAGTGGAGGAGAAAAACAAGACTAGTGTTACGATTTAATGTCTGCTGTCTGCTGACATTCTGAAATCCAACCACAATGTAAATATTGTGCTAAAGTAAATATTACACAAGTGTAAGTGAATATTTGGCTGCCTTTTGTCTTCTTGCTTTGACATTAATCTTAAACTTCTGGAAAGAATTTGAGTCTTCAGCTTGCCATAACCTCTTTGTTGTCAGTTACTCAGTATAGCAGAGTGTGAATAAAGTGGACTGCAGGCATATAACCTCCTTTGTCAGTGCACACACACACACACACGCACTCAGTAGCCTCTACTGGCAGTGACCTAAAATCTTCAAGTGAAGTTAAATTACAGCAGTAACTACTGTCTACTTTAATTAGTATATCTTACTATATAGTTTTCTGCTATGATTGATATTGTGGTTTTATCCTCCTATCGGAATACTGATATTCCATTTAACAATGACTTAATGGGCACACTGTTTTATTTGACATGTGATTGCCCCAGTCTACCCAGCAGACATTAAATACAGACTGGCCGATACAAAATGTGTGCTTTAGCAGTTTTCTACTTCAGAAGAACATTTGACCTCCTGCAAGTCTCCCACAGCAGTATGGCACTTCAGCACTAGAGTCTGAAGAGGCCGGCCTGCTAGAAAGAAGCTGCACTCGCACTCCATCCGTCCTCCCACGGTTGCTCTTTTATTTCTGATTGTCCTCAGATGCACCCCAAGACGCAGGCAATGACAGAAACTAGACCAGCTGAGTGCAGGTTCGATTCAGGGCTGTGAGGTAGAGCTGAGGTGAGCTAGAACAGGCCTAAGCAAGAAGGTTAAGGAAAGGGATGGGAGTAAAAAAGAAGCTGTAGGAAGGTTTGTGTGTACGGTGAAAGCTCTAAAGGTCTTGTGCTCATTAGGGATGTCAAGCTGGAAGGAGGAGGGCGTCAGCGGCACCCGTCAGGAGGCGTCAGTGCCAAGGAGATGGTGATCGGGCTGGAGGGAGTGGAGTTGGGAGCTGATGGAAAGGTGAGATGGCAGCAGAAATATGCTGTGGAGAGGGGGAATATAGTCATCTTTTAAGTATTTATAATTAAATGAATATAAGACTATACACTAACTATTTAAAAAAAAAGTTTGAAGAAAATTCACACAAAATTACCAAAAAATTGTACATTACTGCTCATTTTTAACAGTTTGAAAACTGTATAATTTATTGAATGTTTTTGTCTCCCAGACTAGCTTGAAGTTACTTGCTTTTAATGTGCAAGATGTTTGCTGTCGCTTCATAAACGTTCCAAAAGTGGCAGCTAATAGTATAGCAGCTACGTCATAAACGCGTCTTTCCTCTAAAATAATGCAAAATTATTACTACTTTTCACAGTATTTTCTCATTCACGAGTGTGTCAAATGTGTGTCCGCTCAACACATTTGCTCAGTCACAGCTCACCAATGCTTGAAATTTGAAGGAAAATTAGATAGCTCATCAAATGTATAGTTGCTTGCTACTACAGAACATAGAGTGGTACTAAGCTCGCTAATCAGCCAAATGATTTGCCTTTAAGTACTTACCTTAAACATTGCACTGGGTTTTTGATAAATTAAGAATATTTACATGTTTCATATATAATAAATCAACATATAGGCAATAGGCTTTTTTTCTTAGCAGCATTTTGTCATATGAAACCTCAGGCATGATTAATCACATTATTAAAAACTGCATTTCATTTAGGAAAGTAAGTTCCAGGCTCCTGTTATGTGCATGCTGAGTCACTGTGATATATTGGTAACTTGCCTTTTCCTGTTTTGACAAGCAAGTGAAAACAATACATTATACCTGTTCAACCTGTTAGATTATGGAAAGCACAACTTTGTTTAGCTATTATGAAACAGCTATTATAACTACACCTGTGTCTGCAGACTGTGTCCTACACCCAGTTCCTGTATCCCACCAACGTGCTGGGTGGTCGAAGAAACACCATCGACTCAACCTCGTCCTTCTCTCAGTCTCGCAACGCCAGCCATAGAAGCCTCAGTTTGGGCCGAGCCAACAGCAACCAGAGCAGCACAGACACAGGTCGGTCGACTACCAACGAGTGCTTACCATCTTTTCCTTTATCCAGTGTGTGTTTTTATTTGGAAAAAGGTAGTGCAAACGTTAACTTCTAGCTTAAACTCTGTTGTTGTTGTTTGTGTCCGTGGCAGGGAATGATTTGGGGGACTTCCGCGATTACGACCCCAATCTGCTGGATGACCCGCAGTGGCCTTGTGGAAAACACAAGAGAGTCCTTACCTTCCCCTCCTACATGGTGAGAAAGGCATCATAAATACCAACAACAACAACAACAACAACAGCAAATGCAGCCATGTCTTTGAACCACCTATGTTTTGACACGGTTTGTTGAAATGTCCTACAATATCTCACTGTTAATACTTTTCTTTTTCAATGGTTATTTTTGTCATTATGGGCCTTTTTGTGCTCAGTTTTTCCACCACAACCAAGAACAATAACACACCTTGACAGTTTGTTTCTTAAAAAATCTTTCTGAATTTTATCAGCTGTTTTTGAAAAGGTGCCAGGAGGATGTTTCAGAAGGTTTTAATCAGCAAGGTCACCGGCCCAGACTCTCTCCCAAGTTCTGGGACCTGAATGAATACACATCACTTATCTCAGCATAGTGGGCAGTAGCTGTTAGGTTGCAACAGTTAGTGTAGTGTTTTCATCCCAGCACTAACCCCTCTCTTACTTTCCCAGAAAAGAGCAGATGCTTCATCGTTTTTAGAAAAACATAAATAAAACCTGACTAGACTCCCACCGCGTTCTTTCCCGGGGACTGTTATTGTTACGGAGACGCAGAATACACAACAACGAGTGACATCGCTGACATGTTAAGTCAAAGCCGGGCTATGTGTTTTGTTGTGGTTTCTTTTGTTTTGTTCTCTTCCTCCAATTACAAAACCCAGCGTCTCACAACAATAGCCTTTGTGTTTACTACAGCAATGGAACCAGTAAATTCTCATCATTGATTGAACACAGGCTATTTAGAAGACGTGACTCTTAAGCAACAACTTTCAAGCTGAGGATAATTATAGTTTTTGTACTCTGCATGCAATTTAGGAAACGTGTGACCTAGAACACCATGAATATAATGTTGAATGTGGTTGGTTGAGTGGCTTGTTGATTTGTGTAATGGTATCCTCACGGTAAAAACATGTAGTAATGAAGTGTTTTAATGTGGTAACATAAGTTAGTGTGAGACATGGTCACAGAAGAGTATATTTTCTGTTAGGCAAAGTCGGTGCCGTTCTGCTTTATGTTCATTTCTCTGTGCTGAGATCATCAATGAGCATTCGTTCTCCTTCATGGTTCATGATCAGCGACGTGGTGTTCTGTGTGAATGCCATTATTCATACTCAAAGACATGCCTGCAATACCATACATGCATTTTGAGAGTCGTCCTTATATGTATAGCACTATTGCATTGTGTGTCCTTAATCGCTTCTTACTCAGCGGAACGTTGCGATCGAATAATTCCAATTTTTTTTATAACTTCAGTGTTAGTTTTGTACATTTGGCATCACTTCTGTCCGCTAGGAAAACACTGTTTACCGTAACAGAGGAACGATTCATCTTATTGTCGATCAATCTGAAGATTATTTTCTTGATTATTGGTTTCATCATTAAATTTCAAAACCTATACATTTTCTAGAGCCCAAGGTGAAATCCTCAAGTAGCTCTGACCACCAGTCCAGAACCCAAAGGTATTTGATTTACTGTAGTAGTTGAAGCTGAATGTTTGGCACATTTGCTTGAAAAGATGACTATGGAATGATATGATGTAATGAGATGAGTTGCCAGTTATCTTTCTTCCAATCGTTTCAGCTCGACACCAAAGTAACCGCTCCGATCTGGGAGCACCGTGACAATTTATAAACAATGCTATACTTATTTACTGTTTTGAAAAGAGTATATTATATTTTATTGTGGTTTTCAGTGAAATTTGGACATAGAACACATACAAAAATTAATTTACCACAGTTGAATCTAATCGCAGAAACGCAGTCAGTTGTTTTAGGAGTGTGTGTGTGTGTGTGTGTATGTGTGTGTGTGTGTGTGTGTGTGTGTGTGTGTGTGTGTGTGGGAATAAATTAATCCAACAAGCCAAAAGAAGTGGTTTAGATCATTTGGCTTAAGTGTTGGAGGTCAAACTGAAAGTTGATGAACCCTGTGTGCTGTAAGTACAGGAAGTCAAAGTTGAACCAACAAATATTTACAAAGAACATTTTAGGTAATTATTTTGATTGTTGTAACCGTAAAGGTAATACTGCTTGTGTTTATTTCCCTGTCTAACTAGCAATGATGCTATGTTCCTAAATCTTTAATGCTGCTGAACGTTGTTGTTACTAAGAAGAAGAAGATTCCTTTTGCCTCCAGAAGGTCTTCAATTTAAGTTGTGGATTCAGCAAAGTGCTAGAAATGTACTTTGTTCTGCAGCGGTTATTATACGGTCTTAATGCGACTCACCCACCCGGTACTCAAATCATGTTAGAACAAACACTAAGGGTGGTCTAATGGAAGCCTGACGAGTCCCTGAGTCCTCAGCAATCAAATATGTGTTGTGTTTTCCAGATTTGTCTTTTTATTATCCTCAACAAATCCTATTAAAAAAAAAAGACCATAATCAACTATGTGTTCAGTATTTTTCAACATCCATGCGCTGTCTGTGGCGCTCGGGCCCAAACAAGCTCGGTCATTTGCTAAAACAGCAGGGCACTGTAGTTGTTAGCTAGCATTACTCAAACGGGAGTAAACAATGACGTTAAGTACCATTGGTCATCGGCTGATTGATGCGTCATTCTGCTGCTGTAAATACTCACTAGCACACACATGTGTACGACTCAAAATAACCACAGTGGATGTGTTCATTGGGGTGAAGGAACAAGTCACCCAGTGTGGCTCATTGGGGTTTTTAATAGTGTTTGGACAACAATGGCGCTCTGTGGCATAGAAGAATAAGATACATCGGGCTTCGGATGCACACATGCTTTGTGTGTCATTTGGATCAATTCATTGTTATTTCTGGTCTTTTCGTGGGATTTCCTGACAATAGGAAAGATAAAGAATACAACCAGACTTATCCTTCAAGTGACACGACAAACAACCGCCATCGGTAAAGCCATATTGTGAGGCCGTGGAATCCAACACTAGTGTGTGAGGATCCAGTCACGCTGCCCGGTGCTGAAAGTCTGGTCATTTTGACACCATCTCTGGTTTTCCTTTTCAGACTACGGTCATTGAATACGTCAAACCCTCTGACCTCAAGAAGGACATGAACGAAACCTTCAAGGAGAAATTCCCCCACATAAGGCTAACACTAAGCAAGATTAGGAGGTACGACGGACAGACATGTATAGACTGTCATATTAAGCATGTTTGATGAGAAAGATGATTTCACTTTACCGTGACCTGTGTTTCTTTTCTTTAACACCAACGTATTTATGTATCCCTTTCTCTTCCTCCTCCTCTTCTTTTCGCCTCCCTGCAGTTTGAAAAGGGAGATAAAAAAGTTGGCCCAGGATGAATGTTGCTACGAGGAGCCGACAGTGGCCATGGCTTTCGTCTACTTTGAAAAACTCGTGCTTCAAGGCAAACTGAACAAGCAGAATCGCAAACTCTGCACTGGAGCTTGTGTCCTTCTGGCGGCCAAGATTGGCGGCGATCTCAAGAAACACGAGGTCAAGCTCCTGATAGACGTAAGTCCCCTCACTCGCACCTCCGAAAATCCTAACTTCGATGCCCTCTTTCATGCTTCGATGATAATTTGTGTGCTCGCGTCGCAACCAGATTCAATTGTGAGATCACTCGAATCAAAGTGAACAAATCACACACAGTGAAGACTGTCTGCGGTGAAGTCTGTGGATTCTTCTGACTAACAAGGAAATGGATTCCAGAGGGACAAACAAAGCCTCCGACTTGTATCAGAGTTTGAAGTCTTAAGCAACACCAGAGCTAACTCTGATGACATCATGAGGGTTAGAAAGCTCTCGAGAATATCTTTTTTTTTGTTTCCGCGTGTAAAATCATTGGAGTGCCCTTTTTAATGAAAGCTTTAGAGTTGCAAACTTTCCCCCTTTGATCTAGATTTCTGTAGAACTGCAAAAAAAACTAATTTATTACAGTCCATCTGTCACATCCTAACATTTCACCTACCATTCTCGAGTTGACTTGTAGATTATTGTGAACGCATCAACAGCAGGTTTGTCAAACATCCAATCACTCATCTCCTCTTGTCCAAATCTCCTCCTGTGCCAATCCTTACGAAATGCTGGTCTAATGAGAAGCGATGAGCAATGCAGGATCGCACATATCTCTTATTTAATATTAACTCTCTCTTTTTTTTTTTTTTTTGTGGCAGAAACTGGAAGAGAGGTTCAGAGTGAACCGCAGAGAGCTGATCGCCTTTGAGTTCCCGGTCCTGGTGGCGTTGGAGTTCAACCTGCACCTGCCAGAACACGAGGTCATGCCCCACTACAGACGCCTCCTGCAGACCTCCTAGCATTAGTGACCCATCAGGAGGACGACCACCAGGTTCTCCTTCTGATCCTCTGCTTCCCCATGGTATCCATCCTTCCACCTCTCTCTTCCCCCCCCCC